CAATACAGATATGTCTGCATCCAGTCCTGGCCCCCACACAACTTCTCACCAACATCTTCATTTTGTTCACCTCTGGATGACCCTGATGGAGGTCAGCCAATATTTGGCGGCAATCTTTGCATCCCATAGTAACATGCCATTCTCTACTGTGATCTGGTATCTCTGGATCCAGAAAGGTTTCAGTTCTGGTTGTGACAGTCTTTTGGCCTCCCCCATCATCACTAGCACCAGATCTTTGTGTGTCCAAAGTCTGATTGTCAGGTTTGACTGGAAGTGTGTCCAGAAAATGTAAAACCATAATGGACTCTTCCAGTGGCAGGACTACCAGCAGTGTATCTGCCAGCAGCAGGCAGCTCAATGCATCCACATATGCTACTTGATTTCTCGGACGGTGTTCGAACTTGTAATTATACGCAGATAGTATTAGAGTGCAATGCTGAATTCGGTCTGAAGTTATGAGCGGTACTGCTTTGTATTCCAAGTATTGTTACAAATTTAAGTCGATAAAAAGGTATTGGTGGAGCTTCCTGACTCCAAATATAACCGCCAAACCTTCCTTCTCTATCTGATTGTATTTACGTTCTGCATTAGCCAAAATCCAGGAAGCATATGTTACTGGTCTTTCCTCTTCATTGGACCACCTAAAAGGTAGTACTACCCTGATGCCATACGGGGAGGTATTGCACGTCATTATGAGACCTCGCTTGGGATCATAGTAGGCCAACACGTTACAGAATGAAAGCTGTTTTTTCACTTCCCTGAAAGTTATGGTTTGGCTACTATACCATTTCTAAAGAGGACTTTTTTTTTTTGGAAAAGAGTTGATGCAAAGGTGCCAGGATGGAGATCAGGATTTGTATGAACTTTCCATGATCATTCACCAGCTCAAGGAAAGACCTAAATCTCTGATACAGGCATGGGACCGGAGCACTTTTGTTTGCCCTCACTTTTTCTTCCAACGAGTGTAACCTGGTCTTGTTGCCTTTAGCCCAAGTAGGTCATTTGGGGGTGCCCGGAACACATATTTTTCCCTTCCAAGTGTACACCCAGCTGGGAAAAATGTCTAAGGACTATGTTCAAGTTCTCTATCTGCCCCTTATTGGTCATTCCTGTCAATAGCACATCACCTCGATAAATGGCGACCTAGGAGAGACCTTGTTAAATGTTCTTCATCATCTGAAAAACTGCACAGGCTGACGATACCCCAGATGGCAGTCTCATATATTGGTACAAACACTTATGGGTATTAACTGCAGCACACTTCTGGAAATCCTCAACTAACAACAATTGCAGTACGCATGGCTCATGTACAACTTTCTTAAGGACAGCACCCCTGCTCACTATGCATATAAATCCTCTATGCAAGGGATTGAGTATTTATCCAGCTGCGAAAAGCAGTTTACTGTTTGTTTAAAATCCCCACCAAGGCAAATCAACGTGTCAGGCTTTCCCATTCTGCAAAGTGGACTGGTTTGAAGATTGCTTTCCAACCTTCTGATTTCTGCCTCTACTTTTGCCCGTAAGACAAATGGCCTGGGTGGGGCATGCAAAATTGTGGAATTGCTTCCTGGTCAACATGCAAGGTGGCCTTGGCTCCTTTGGTAGTCCCTAGACCTTCCTGAAAAACCTTCAGGTTTTTAAATAGGCCTTCACTCAGGCAGCCATTTTCTCATTGAAAAACATTGAGTCAATCTAGGTGAATCTTTCTCAACCAATTTCAACCCATCAAGCTTGGCCCAAGCCTTTTACTACAATCACTGGTAACTGAACCAACTGCTTTGCATAAGAGACCAAAACCAAAGTTGTCTCCTCAATCTGTAAAAGGTTCCCCAGTGTAGGTTCTCACTCTAGCTGAGGTCTTGTGCAAGCTCAAGGGTTAAAGAGTCCAGAGCAAATTTTCTTAAAGACAGGTTCTGCGATCACTTCAACTGCAGTCAATGGCAAACTCTCCGGTGGCTGGAGTCATACCTGGCACATAGGAAGATGGTCATGGTTGTTGGAGGTCAGTCATCCCAGCTCCAGGACATCTCTGCAGGAGTTTCCTCACAGGAATGCCCCACGCCCAACCACCTTCAGCTGCATCAATGACCTTCTCTCCATTGTAAGTTCAGAAGTGAGGATGTTCACTGATGATTGCTCAATGTTCAGCACCATTCACGACTCCTCAGATAGTGAAGCAGTCCATGTTCAAATGCAACAAGATCTGGGCAATCACCAAGCTTGGACTGACAAGTGGCAAAGAACATTCATGCCACATAAATGCTGGGCTATGACCATCACCAATAAGAGACAATCCAACCATTGCCCCTTGACATTCAATGGTATCACTGAATCCCCCACTATTAACATATTTGGGGTTATCATTGACCAGAAACCCAACTGGACTCATCACATAAACACAATGCCTACAAGGGCAGGTCAGAAGCTAGAAATACTGCAGCAAGTAACTCATCTTCTGACTCCCCAAAGCCTGTCCACCATCTACAATGCACAAGTCAGGAGTATGTTGGAATACTCCCCACTTGCCTGGGAAAAGTGCAGCTCCAACAACACTGAGGAAGCTGGACACCATTCAGGACAAAGCAGCATGCTTGATTGACACTGCATCCACAAGCATCCACACCCTCTACCACCAACAGCAGTGTGTACTATCTACAAAATGCACTGCAGAAACTCACCAAAGATCCTCAGACAGCACCTTCCAAACCCACGACCACTTCTATCTAGAAAGACAAGGGCAGCAAATGCATGGGAACATCATCGTCTTCAAGTTCCCCTCCAAGCCACTCACCATCCGGACTGGGAAGTAAATTGCTGTTTCTTCACTGTCACTGGGTCAAAATCCTGGAATTCCCTTCCTAATGGCATTGTGGGTCAACCTACAGCAGGTGGGTTGCAGCGATTCAAGAAGGCAGCTCACCACCACCTTCTCAAGGGCAACTAGGGACAGGCCAGTGACACCCACATCAAACAGATGAATAAAAACTGAAGATAAAGGATGTCCTATGAATACAAGCAATGACTTGATTGAAACATTTACAATCATGAGGGGTTTTGACAGTGTGGACAGAGAAGGAATGCTTCCTATTATGGGAAAATATGGAGCTAGATGTTTACTGTTTAATAACAACTTTCATCTATTTATAACAAAATTGAGGCAAAATTTATTCTGGGCATTTAAGAATCTCTGGAACTCTTCCTGAAAAGGTGATGGAAGCAGCTTTTCTGAATAGTTTTAAGGCAAAAGTGGACAAATGTACAGTGGAGGGGAGTGTGCAGAAATGGATGCATTAGGGATGGGGGCCTGGAAGAGAATGCATTGGAAATGCAGAGGAAAGAATGCCAATAATCTCTTTGCTAACAGTTTTGAAATCTCAACATGATGTGGAGGATAATGTCAGCTTGCAAGGACAAAAATGGCCACAAATGTTGTTTACCTCTTGAATAACAGCACGTCAGTAGCCTCTTCCATACACAGATGATTGCACATATGCAAGAAATCAGACAAGGCCTTAGTTGCCAAACTAGCAGTTAGGTAGATGCAATATGTCAAAGAGAAGAAATGCGGTAGAACACAAAACAGATAAACAGATCACAAGGTTTGGCTAGGCCACTAGTGTACTGTGTCCAGACAGTGCCTTTAGTATGTTATTGATTACTATATCATCAGCTGCCAGATGTTAAGCTTGGTAATTCCACAGGAGTTGGACATTGTCACTGAAGCTAAAACAAAACCCAATCAGTACAATTCACTAAATGGTGCATTTGAGGCATTGAATTTAATAGAAAAGCAATGGAAAGTGGGGAGAGAATAGGCAGATGGCCTGTCCAATATGTTCCATTTCACACTACCCTCTAAAGTAGAAATTACCCCCGACAGATAATGTACAGACTGGAATCAAGAATATTTTAAAAGCGATTTTCTTTTTCAAAAGCAGCATCTTTTGCAATAGCAGCTGCCATTAGTGCCTTTTTAATCCAAATACAATATTAGTCAGTTCCTGTTTCACTGCGACACAACTGTGGGGTCAGTCACATGTCACTGTACTTGGATGTCGAGTGGCAGATCATCAGTTAGATGCCACAGCTTGCAATTTATTTTCTCTGACAGTTCATTCTTCTTTCTGTCAAACTATTCCCTTTTGCTTTCACTAGAGCCACCCTCCTAGTCTCCTCTCTGCTAACTCTGGCACTGCTTCGTAACGAAGAACATTTTTGAGCCAAAGCCTGCTGTGTCAATCCCTCCACACTGCTGGGGATCATGTGACATTTATCTTCATTGGTAACAATTCACCCCGGGTAACATGTTCTTAGTTACTTTGAAGTTTCTAGTTTCAGCCTTGGCAGAATTTTCAGAAACGTATTCACTATACCATTTCACAGGGCTGATTCAGGAGGATCAAAAGATTTATGGAGCGGTTAGAAATGTAATTATTTTCTTGGTTATCTAACAGTTTACAATCCCACTTGAAATTCCCAAAGCCACCTTAATTGTACTTCTTGAAACAAAGACACAGATGCAATGAACACAACATTATGAGCTGCTTGATAACAACCTTCAAAAAGTCAGTGGGTCACTTCATACACTAACATGGTAACTGCAATTTTGCAATAAGCATTTCAAGAAAATATGTATTGTCAAATCTGCTGCTCAGAAACATGCAGTTGCATATACAGCCTGTTGAGCAAATGGAAAATGAGTCATCAAGATTTTTCTTTTTACCCCATTTCACAAAATAAGCATTAGAATTCAGTGAGGAATTCTTAAAAACGTTTCCTAAATAAACAGTATAGTCCTGTAAAACTGTTTGATTTCCTTGGATTAAACACAACGGTCACATTTTATGTTGTTTCCTCAGACGCTATAGGTAACTGCAAAGCTGTCAATCCTGGACTCCCTGTGGTCACTGCAATCTCCCATGACCTTTGTAATGAGTGGGTAACACATACAGCTGCAGGCCAAGGGCTGCATCTTAGGCACCAAACAGTGCAAGTGTTACCTCATTAGACGTGTCTTCTAGCCTGCTCTGGTAATCTGTCAAGGTTTGTCTCAAATTCTCAAGGACGACAGAGGGGCTTAACGGTTTTTCTTTGTCCTTGCGACTGCCTAAAGGAGGAAAAAAGGAAGACATGTAAAGCTTTTAAATATTGCATTATAATACTGCAGCTAGAAAATAAACATCGTGCCTAAAAACCACTAAATTTCACAAATTATTCAATATCAATCTCTGTCAGTGCATTGATATATTTATTGACCAGGGAGATATGGAATTCTTAATGATCTCAGAAGTTATGAACAGTATACAGCATAACCAGAATTATACCAGTAAATATTATTATCTTTATTTCTATGTTTTAAATTGTCATGTTTTCAATAAGTCAATCTACTGACATGCACTATGCTTGATTCCTCCTTGCAACCATTCATAAAAATGTAATGTTGTCACCATGAAACTGCTACCAATGTTGTAATAATGATAGAAAATTATAATGAAATAATTAGAATTAGAATCAGGTATGCATTGTGACATTGTATATCAGAGATACAACACTGAAAACTTTGAAATCTATTTGGTCACCCTATCCTAACAGCACAGCTATTTTTAATGAATGAGGCAAGGGTGGCAAAGGCAATTTTTTTCCCAACAACTTTTTATATTTATAGAGTTTTTAAACATAGATAAACACGTGCTTTTAACATCATGAAACATCCTAAGGTTCAGCACCAGGCAGTAAATATATATTCGGGCAGATAGCTAAAAGAATGGTCAAAAGGATAAGTTGTAAAGAAGAAAGAGAGGTAAGGAGGCAGGGACATTCATGGAGGGAACGGTAGAGAATAGATCCACAGCAGCATAATGTATAATGAGCAGATATCTCAGATGGTTATAGAGTAGGAGGAAACTACAAAAGTAGGAAGGGTTGAAGATATGAAAACAAGCCAGAGAATTTTAAAAATTAATCAGCAAGTAATGCAGGTCAGTGACCACAGGGGTGATGGGTGTTAATTTATAACCAGTAAAACTTTAGATATCCTCAAGTCTATGGAGAGCAGATGATGGAAGCACAGTCAGGAATTTGTTGGGAGTTAGAGATAACAAAAATATGGATGAGGGCTTCAGCAGATGATGTTCTGAGAAATGGCATTTGGGCAATGTTAAATTTTTGAAATGGACTGTTTAAGTGATGCTGTGAATATATATGGTTAGAAGCTCTCATCTCGGAATCAAATTGAACAGTCAGATTCAGCCTCCATTCCATTGATTTTTTTTTATTCATTCATAGGATGTGGGCATCACAGGTAGGCCAGCATTGTGGGTGCAATGGTGGGGAGGGGGGTGATGTGTAGTAAAAGAGAGAGATCCACAATGCTATCAAGAAACAAGTCCCAGGATTTCTGAAGAAGGGTCTAGGTCCGAAACGTCAGCTTTCCTGCTCCTCTGATGCTGCTTGGCCTGCTGTGTTCATCCAGCTCTACATCTTGTTATCCCAGGATTTTGGCCTGGTGATACAAAGATTGATAATATAGTTCCAAGTCAAGATGGTATTTGGCTTGGAGGGTTATTTAGAAATGGTAATCTTCCCAATACTGCCTGTATCCTTCTAGGTGCTATAGCTTCTGGTTGGAATTGGAAGTGGGGACTGGAATCAAGTTTAATCTTCCCAACATTTAGAGGAAATTTCAACTCCTAAATACGAAGCAAGCATGGGTGCAGTGCATTAAAAAGGACAGGAATGATTTCAGAAAGCAGTAGGTTTGTCTCTGGAGTATTCTGTGCATTAGTTGAGATTACAAATAAAAATATTTCAATCATCATATTTTCTTCCAGTTATATGCATGGAACTGAAAGGCAGAAATAATCTGAATGCTACAGCAAGAGATGCTATTGACTTTTCAGTGTTCAAAAATGTTTGTGATTATTGGGAAGAAAAAACAATGTAACTAAAATGTTAAATTGCTGACTTCAAGAATCACCCTCACTCTTTGAATGCAACAACCTCCTCATAAAATGGATTATTCCAACATCATTTAGCACCAATCATTTTGGTAAAATTACTAAAGCTTATTCCAAATTACATCTCAGTCATGAGCCAGGGAAGGCACAGAGAGAGAGAGTTAAAGACAAGGAGATTTAAATGAGCACATTAACAATTAAGTTGTAAATGTCATCTAACTATTGTATGTTTGTGTTAAGGTCTCCTTCTATCAAGTCTTCTTGAATGTTCCATCTTAATTTATCACCCTGAACTTAATCTGTAATGAAAAGTTCAAGAATGCATCCTAATTCCACATTTTAAAAAATCTGAAATGAATACCAAGGTCTCAGAGTGTCTCCACCCTTGTGAGACACAAGTTAAATAAACAATCCTCAATTATATTAGAAAAATCATTTGAAATACTTCCTCAGTTTTCACCACATTTGGTGAGTTAAAGGCCCTAATGTTTCTGTCAAAGTAAATTATTGGCAAGGCTATCATCAATCACATTTGTAAAAGACTAAACTGAGTAACAACGTTTAACTGCTCACGTGATCATTAAATGCAGAAATCAAAATTGTCAGTTCCCCGTGCTTTCGGATGCTTTTCTATACCAAATATCCCACAAAGAGACTTACTAGTGAAATACATGGAAGGGAGTGGAGTTGGAGTATTTTCATGATAGATATCCATTGAACACACTGGAAAATGTTAGGATTTAACATTCCAGTGAGTGAACCTTCAAACTGAATGATCCAGCAAAAATCTAGACCAATGTCTAATTCACCAATAAATCTGTGTTATGGTTCCTCAGGCTAAAATATGTTCTAAGGAGAGCACTACTGGGTTTTCTCGAAGAGGAGAAAGTAACCCCAATGATAATTTAAATAATATAAAGGAAGAAATAGAGCAATCCAACATTCTCAGATTTTAAAAAAAACAGCCACATAGGAAGACTAAATAGCGACTAAAATCTGAGAAATGGTGAACATTCTAATTAAAATATCATAATCAATTTAGTTAAACAGTGCCAACATTCGACAACACATTAACATAAGATGAGAATAAAAGGATGACGTATTTGACCAAATGAATTGATTGATTGATTGTATTTTGGTACATGTGACAATAAATCAGTGAAAAGCTTTGTTTACAAGCAGTACAGGCAGATCATAGTAAGCAAGGATGTGCAAATCAAAAAGACATAGATGTGTACAGGTTACATTGCATAGGGCGTGTACTAGGCAAGATCAACATTAGCAAGATCAGCATCATTTGAAGTTAGACATTCCCTTCATCAGTCCAACAACAACCAGAAAGAAGCTGTTCCTGAACCTGAACGTGCACATGTTCAGGCTTTTATATCTTCTGCCTGACAGAAGAGGTTGCAGGAGATCAATACCAAGGTGCGATGGGTCTTTGATGATATTGGCAGCCTATCTGTGGCAGTGAGCTGCGTAAATGGAGTCCATGGGTGGAAGGTGGCTTCCGTGATGGTTTGGGCTGTGCACACCACCTTCTGTAGTTTCATACTGTCCTGGGCAGAGCAGTTGCCATACCAGGCTGTTATGCACCCAGACAGTATGCTTTCAATTGTGCAGCTGTAGAATTTGGTGAGGGTCCTTACGGATATGCCAAATTTCCAGAGCCGCCTGGGGAAGAAGAGACATTGTGTGCCTTCTTGACTGTTATATAAGTGGAGAGTCCAGAACAGGTTGTTGGTTATTGTCACTCCGAGGAACTTGACACTCTCCACCCTCTTAACCTCAGTTCCGTTGATGTAGATGGGGGCATGTTCTCTTCCTTTCTTTCTGAAGTCAATGATCAGTTCTTTAGTTTGCAAATGTTGAGAGAGAAGTTGTTCTCATTGCACCACGTCACCAAGCCCTCTACCTCCTTTCTGTATTTTGACTCATCGTTGTTAGATATCCGTCCTACGACGGTGATGTCGTCAACAAACTTATAGATGGCATTCGTTTGGAATTTGGCAACACAGCCATGGTCGTACAGGGGGTACAGTAGGGGGCTGAGGACACATCCTTTGGGGGTTCCAGTGTTGAGTGTTATTGTGGAGGAGGTACGGTTACCTATCTTCACTGAATTAGATAGGAGGTAACAAATTTAGAATCATTCATAAATACAGTCAAATCCCACTCAAACTTTTTTGAAAAGCGATTACTTAAGAGAATTCATAGACAGGATATCAGCATTGCTGAAATAAAGAGCAAAAATACAGAATACATCAGGAGCTAAGTAGCTGATGCCAAGCATGCTCAGTATAGAATTACTGCATTATGTTGTATGTTCAAAGGAGGATGCTCATATTTAGAGCTTAGAGAGAGGGAAAAATTGATAGGAACACTACATATCGTACCATTCACAAAATTTTGTTAGTCCAATTTGCTTTTAGTCAAATATGCCTTCCTTTCATTGGCCGGGGCACTGACCATACTAAGACAATACATGTTAAAAAGTATCAGAAGCCAATGGAGAAAAAGATTTAATTTCCTGTCAGACATTTTTTTGTTTTGTCTGAAAGATGCCAGATATGGGTTAGTGCTCAGCTGCAAGGTAAATCCTGCCAGAATGGAGAATAGTTAATTGACCAAAAGGGTGAAACCAAACCTCTTGATGATCTTGTACAGGAACAAGATTGGTCAAAAACAAAAAAGTCTCAAACTTAGTAGCCAAAGGCAAGAAAATCTTGAACGTTCTGTGGCAAGGAATTATGCACACATATAGGACAAAGCAATGAAGAGAGTTGTAGTTTTCAAGTTATAAGCAGTTTTATTTGCATTTAGTAAGTTTCTGTCTTCAAAGCTCAATCTATGTGGGATAGGGAGAAAAAGGGAAATTGTAATGCATATAGATATTGCTTTCTTCTACAGTGCAACTTCTTCCCTGTCAGCATTTACAGTAATCTTGAATAGGACATTAGGAGCAGCCTTGTACCAATGTAAAATATCATTAATAATTACTAAGAGATGGGACACTACTAATGGTTGGTGTTATAGGACAGTTTTCTGTAATTATAAATGTCACTCACTGGCTAAATTCTTAAATGGATAGGGTTAAAAAATGTTTCCAAATGAATTAACAAAATAGTTCAATTTGACAGAAACGTACATGTTTTGCATCCATTGCCATCTAATAGCTCAAGTTGAGTGCTTCCACCAAGTCCTCCTTTCTAGATATTTTTAAATTAACATGCTTGGTTATGTTAAAACACAAATCCAGGGTCAGGCAGAATTGAACCTGGACCTTATAGTTGGTCTGAGGGGCTCTTGGTTAATATGGAAGAGGATAAAACATTACGGAGTCTCAACAAAAGACTTTTCTGAGCAACAGTATGTAATTTATTGCAAAATAGCAATGGGTAAAATTTAGATTGGCTAGTTAGCCACAACCACTAAGATACTAAAATGATTAGAAGCCAAAGATGACCTGTCTGAACCCATCAGGATCTTGAGCCAGAATCCTGATTCTCTACCAAGACTCTAAGCTGAAATTGGGTGGACCTTAATGTAGTCCCCAAGATCAACACTTCTAGAGCCAACCATGAGAGAAAAGAAATTAATCAGATGGAGCAAGCTGATTTGGCCAGGTACCCACTCTAATTTTCACGTTGAGCTCTCTCAATACCTTGCTTATTTGTTGCTTTTGGTAAAATAGGAATGTGAATATTCATGAGGTGAGCTGAGCTGGTAATAAGGCATTTAACAAGCAATATTCCTCCTTTATTGGTAATTTATAGAGAAGCATAGAAACATAGAAAATAGGAACAAGAGTAGGCCATTTGGCCATTCAAGCCTGCTCTGCTAGTCAATATGATTGTGACTGATCATCCAGCTCAGTTCTCTGTTCCCATTTCTCCTCATACCCCACGATCCCTTTAGCCCTAAGAACTATATCTAACTCCTTCTTGAAACATTCAATGTTTTATCCTTAACGGTTTGCTGTGGCAGAGAATTGCAGGCTCACCACACTGAGTGTAGACCCTGGTTCTGGACTCCCCATTCATCAGGAACATCCTCCCTACATTTACCTTGTCCTGTTAGAATATTATGGGTGTCTATGAGATCACCCTCATTCTTTTAAACTCCAGTGAGTAAAGCCCTACTGATTCAGTCTGTCTTCGTATGCCTGTCCTGCCAACCCAGGAATCAATCAGGTAAACCTTTGTTGCACTCCCTTCATAGCCAGAACATCCATTCTCAGATAAGGAGACCAAAACTGTACACAGCACTCCAGTTGTGGTCTCACCAAGGATCTGTATAACTGCAGCAAGACATCCCGCTCCTATATTTGAATCCACTTGCTATGAAGGCCACCGTACTATTTGCTGCCTTCAGCACCTGCTGCACATGTATGCTTACTTTCGGCTTGTCACTGTCCGTCCTTGCCCCTTGATGAAGAACTTTTAAGTGACTAATTAAGTGGGAGCAAGCCATGCTTCCTGTTTGTCAGTTATCATTCATATATTTTTAAGAAAATATAAATGAGCCAAATGGCTTATGACATCCATTGCTATCCTTGTAATATCTGCCTCTGGTTATACAAAGGGGAACAGAGGTCAGGGATTGCTATCCAATCAAATATTCTCAACTTTTACGAACCATTTACTAATGAACTACGATAAATCATCTTTTGCACTGATGGAAAGACCCTGTCCTTGTACATGTACGTTTTGAACATCTTTGATCCTTCCGGCAGCTTCTCTTTTTGTGCTTCACAGCTCCATGTTTTCCTTTTAAGAGGAATGAAACATTTGATTGGAATGTTTCACGTTCTTTTCTATTGGAATGTTGAAATATCTGTTTCAAAGTATGAGGCAGTTCTTTAAACAGAAGTTGCTACAGTCCATTCAGTAAAAGCCCATGGCAGCAGCTATACTTAGCAATGCCTTTTGATGATTTGAAGTCACTGAGTGTTTAATGTGACAAGTCTACTCAATAAGTAAATATTGTTTTCAACTTGTCTCCTTCAACTAGTTAGCATTCATACTGCAAAACTGGTTAATATTTTAGGAATGCCCCATATCTGATGAAATTAACTCCATGACTACATGACTACCCTGCATCTCAGGGCAGAATCCATGGGCACCAGCTGCATGCACCTCTCCTCCAAGGATACTGATAGCTGGAAAATGCCAAACTTTCACAACCATCAAGGTACCTCTCTGATACACTGGCAGGGTGCTCTGGATGGGTTGAGTGGGGACCAGGGAAGGTGTGAATCTAGAGATTTGTGGGAAAGGTGATTGGTAAGGGAATCTAGAATTTTGGGGGCTCACAATACATAGAGACAGAGGCTGTAAGCCACTGACCAAGGAGCCCTCACTGCCGAAAGTGCGCAATAGAAGAGAAAATGGCTGTGATTGCACTCAGAGTGGGTGGGTAACTAACTCGAATAGTGAAGGGCTGCAGGACCCACCAATGTTCGGGCTTTTAAAGGGAAATAGTATTGCACATTGACCCATGAAATATAAAAGACACACACCAGTGTGGTCCCTAATCCCTGGTAACCCTAATGCATTTGCTTCCCTGTCAGTTTTGCACCTTCTTGCCGCAGACATCAATGACCAACACATTCACATTAACACTTTTAGGCACAAAAGCTGGGCATGGATAGGGATGTTATAAGATGAATGCAAAAGATGCCAGCAGCACCCATGCCCTCAATACACCCTTTCTTCTTACAGCCAAATGTTCAATAGGTTCTCACCAGAAACATCTGTCCATGGTACATCGTCTGTGGCCACAAAGTTATATCTTACGCTGAAACAATGACATCTCGGGCAACACAAAAAGGCAAACAAGAAAACGCAAAATGAAAGTAGTGGCGCTTATAAACAAAATTGCAAATTAGCACTGCACTGTCACACAAGCCACCCAAGTACTAGTCTCCTGTTCCGCAGCTGCGAGTGGGCTCCTCCACTATGCACCGCTCCCCCAACCAGGACATCCAGGCCACTGTCAGAGAATCGCTGTGCCATCTTTCCCCTCTGACATCTGCCAGAAACATCCTTGACCAAGCAGGGCAACTTCAGAATGCCAAAACTTGTCTGGGCGCACAGAGCCTTTTAAAGCTGACACAGGTGCAAGTGATACCAGTCTTTCAGCAGATATCCACTGAATGGCGAGTTTTGAGGGAATGGCATGTGGCAAAATGGGGCTGGAACTAGATGTGACAGATGTTATAGGAGTCGAGTAAGTAGCTAATGAGGCAAGTTTGATAATATATGGCCAGAAAACTCACTAGGCCTTGTGATGGAAACCCCTCTAAAAAAATCTCAGTGTAACTTGGACTTTTGTCATTGAAAAGATTCAGCCCGTGATCTTTAAAAATCATCAATAAAAATAATCATATTAAGAACATACAATTTGGTGACATTAAAATCCCCAACTTTGAGCATTCACTTTTAATATTATCTACTATAGACTATATTTTAGTAGTCTGCAGTATAATGTTATACTTCACCTTCAGGTGGCTGGCCTCCCTGAAGAATTCATCTTAAATTCACATCTGAGACAATGCAAGCAATGGGGAACTCAAAGAGTCAAGGTTAAATGACAGAATATCACACTTCTGCACCTAGTCCCGGAGATGTAATTAAAGTGGAGCTCCCAATCAGTAGGTCACTCAATCACCTTATGTTGAACTCACAACTTATATTTTTATTTTGATCGCATATTATAAAATTGGCATTTTGCTAATGAATACAACTGTCTTTTTCTGAAACATTCCTTTAACAATTACATTAACACAAAGATTTAGACAAATTCTCAGTAAATGTGCCTAGGACAGAAGTGTTTCTAGATTCCTCATTATAGCATGTTCCTTCACTAGAGTAGCCTCTCATTGTCTCCTTTGAGACTGGAATAAAAGTGTGCTTTTCCCTGCAAAAATGCTCACTACATCCCACAATGAGCAGGCACTATTTAAAATGTCTGTCTAATTGCTTTCAACAGGATCCTTACACCGCAAGTCCAAAAAAAACACTAACACATGAATTATTTACTGAAATGTAAATTCAGAAAGAAATGTAAATACAAGGTCCGCTGCAGAATTTTTTTCCAATGCCCAACATACAGCATTTGCTCTTATTTTTAAAATGTTATGGTAACACTCATTGTTGTCCTAAATAACCTTCCTGAATTGGCCGTTACCAAGTGGCTCAAAATGCTGCATTATTTTGGCTCGAGTTACATAAAAAAACATCTGGTTCCTTTCCAGGTATTTTACTTAGAAATCTGTGAGGGCCTCAGTTCCCTACAGGAATTATAAGCCAGCAAGCTCACTCTTTACTGCCTGTCAAGTTGACCCTGGCACTTGTAAATCAAGCTCTAGCCCAGCAACATCAGGCCTACATTCTGTCACCTTTTCTCAACCTGCTTAGCCACTGCACTGCTGTGAGGACCACTCTTATCTTGTCATCAGATCAGTGCATGTTGAGAAGAGGGATTACAGCAGCATCTGCAGAATTCCCACAATGCAGTGGCTTTTGGAACACTGACAGCTGCGTCTGTCATTTCATATCGTCAACTAACCTGATGTCCTTAGGCCTGACACAGCAAAATTGCCCAAAAGGAGTTCGAGCTCTCTCATGCTGCCCCCATATGTTTCTTCCAGGAAAGCCTGCCGTTTCCTTGCCTTGTAAGAAGAGAATTAAAAACAGATCGTGTTAGAAAAAAAAAATTACCATATTACTGCCAAAAACTACTTTTACCTATTATATGTATATTGAATGATATTTTCAGGTTAAAACACAACCAAAGATGCCTATGTTTGAAAGCACTCGAGAGACAAGTAAATAAGTTGTATAAACGCCAGGACCTCACTTGGTTAAATAAATATGTAGGCACATATATTTTTAAAAAATTAAAATTCGCACAGCATAACAATTTAAATAATAAATAATTTTTCTTGAATGTCATCCAGAAATATTTCTACACATTTATCTTTAGTTACACTAAGTGGGACAGAATAGACATTTAACTTCACCATTGAGATTCTGCGTCAGCTACTGAAAATATCCACAGCAATATTTAATTCCACTCAAAGCAAGATAATGAAATCTACTGTTTTTGTATAATGTTTCAAAACCACATAGAAACTTAAAAACGTTATGTGTTTTGTTGATGAAATTTAAGTTTCAAAAAGCCATTATGATGACTATGTGTGTCAAATTATTTAAGGATATAGCAATTCTTTATTATTCTGCTCATCTTTTTGTTAAAAATCTCCCATTAGTGCTAAAGGTGAAAATTCCAGAATCAACACCCATATATACCAACTACATTAAAATAAAATCAAATTAATGTAAAATATGTACACTACTTAAATGGTAAAATAGTTGGACCTTTAAAGGTTCTGTTCAGTCTTTAGGTGAGCAAGCTGTAGTTAATTCTACGACTCTGTTCCAACATGAGGTACAGCTGCTCCTGGCAGGGTGACCCATGCAGATATTCGCCTTCTACAGCAAACAATTCTGTTTGTTGCCCAAGAATCAAAAAAATAATTGAGGCATAGCTTACACTTTTAATATTAAAAAACAGCCTTGTAGCAAGATAGGCTGTTCCTAAGGTCAAAAGTAAGTTAATTATTATACAACTATATCTGCTGTATGTCTCTTTCTCAATTTTGCAACAACTTTCTAAAACTTAAAATTAAAGGTCAAGTCTGATGTTATACAATACAATCACAGTGCTCAAATTTTTAAAAAATAAACAAGCTTCAAAGTGAATGAAAGGCAATTTGATGGATTAGCTCTTTTTTTTAAAAAAGTTAGAACATTTTTATAATAGTATCTCATTTGAAATCCTCGCTCTCCATTGCCTTCCCCAGCCCCTACTCATGTCAAAAAAGTCCTCACTAAGATATGTTCACAACTTTCCTTTCTCAATCTTCACAATGAGTAATTCCTCAACCTCAGTAATTTCAATCTCCATCTGAATTCATACTTTCCTTTTCAGTTGAATTTTTTGCCATCCTCAAACACTAGCTCCATTTAAGTTTACAAGCCATTTTCAAAACCACCATCACCGTTCACCCTCTCACCTTACATCTGCCCCCAAGCTGGTCACCTCACAGGATCTCACTATTGCCATTACATCAGTACAGATAAGCCATCTAATCACTTCCTTTCATCATTCTCCACACAGAGGCCTCCCTACCATTTCCCCAATCCCAACTGTAACTGCCCCAGAGAGCACATAATCTACGTGCAATTGCACATTCAAAACTATGCATTCAAAACCCCAGCTGGCCTTTGACACTCATGAACGATAACACTTCTACAGCGACGCCCTGCTGAACTACACCTTTACCTCCACCATCAATGCCCCACTCCAATCATTACTTTCACTCACACTGCCTATTCTCACTCATTCAGCTCTCCATTCCATTCCATTAATTTCAGAGATGTAGACTTAAATGAACATGGTGGAAAACTGAATCAACCATTCATCAGACCATTTTGTGCTAGAAAGTATCATCAGGTCCTGTACTTATTTAACGGCTTCGGTATTCCTGACATTTAATTCCCAACTCCAACGCCTTTCTACTAAGTTAACCGAGTCTCAAGTATTTCTTATTCTGAAGAAGACTCATAGTTGACTGTTTCTCTCTCCATAGATGTTGCTAGACGGGAGTTGTCCAGTATTTTCTGCATTTATTTCACGTATTAATGCATCTATGTTTTCGCTACATATAGTCCCCATTTCCCTTGTTGGTTGTAACATATTAATCCACCTGTGATGGTTCTGCTTGAAGGAGGATCCACGTTCAAAATATAAACATTTTCACTTTCTCTACAACAACTCTGTGGCCCATAACAAAATTTTAACATTTTCTGTTCTTGTTGCCTGAAAGTATAAAACGTCATTTTTGCAGTAAGTAGTAGTAGTTTAGTAAAGTAGCTGGAAGCTGTGTGAAAGCAGTTAAACTGCAAAATGAAGTTCCTAAATAGCAGCCAAGAGCCAAATACAAAAGCAGTTTTGAACCAACGGGAGTTCACTCAAAACCAGTCAAACTTCAGCTCAATTACAAACTTCACAGGTGGAAACATACATATACAGACTCAAGTGTCCAAAGGCATTATTACAGTGTGCCATCCACTCCTATCATTCCAGTACTTATAATAAATGCAGCCATTCTAACCTTGCAATTAAATTGACAATGCTGAAACTGCAGATACTGTACAGCTCCATTTTCTATAAAGTTTATCCTTACTTTTGTTAGCTCATCCTGAAGATTTTCAAAACTTTCCTCATGGCCTTGAAGCATTTTTGAAAGGTCAGCAATCATATTATTCTTTTCTTCAATTTCTGCTGTCAATTGTTGTTTTGTTTCTGTAAATTCTTTTTGTAATCTTAAGGAGAAAATGGCACGTTTAGTTAATATTTGTAAATTTAAAATAAAGTAAGAGCAACTTACAGAAATTATGCTTCCATAATTTAACAAGTTTAAACGTTAGCATGTGCAATTTAGCAATGAATCCTTTATTATTTGACACCATTCTCAGAACATAATCCCAAAAAACGGAGCAATTGCACATTATAGGACATAACCACAGGTCAATACTCTGGTGATTTGGTTTCGAATCCCACTGTGGCAGATGGCAAAATTTAAATTCAATAAAATCTAATGTGGAATAAAAGGCTGGCTTAATGGTAACCAACTAACCAATGTCGATTTTTGCAAAAACCCATCAGATTCAATACTGTCCTGGTCACTAATGACTCCAATCCCACAGCAATATGCTTGGCTCTTAAATGTCCTCTGAGCAATTTAAAAAAATTGCCGGCCTAGCCAGCAATTCCAACATCTTGTGAATGAATAAATATACAAACTCTTACTTTTGTAATCGATTAGTAGTTTCTGTAGCTTTTGATTTCTCCCTTTCATATGAGAGTTCTATATCTCTGAATTGCTGTTTGATCAAGTCCAAATTTAACGCTGCATCTGCATGGCTGGACTTTTCCACTTGCAACATATTTTCAAGGTCTCGGATGCGCAACTATAGAAAAAACAAATAAAAAATATTAAAGATGATTCAAAATGTAAGATAATTATAATAGGTACTAACAGCAACAAGTCCTCTCAGAAATGCCAGTTTTTGACGCTGACCATCCAAACATATAATCACAAGAAACAGTGTTCTGCATTTCACGGTGAATAATTATTTATATAAACTCTTACCTCAGAAACTGACAAAATAAAACTAACTCACAGTGAATTTATAATGGATGGATATTTACCGCCAATGTAAAAGAGACGCAGGAAATAAAACTAGTCCTTGCAAAGCAGGCTGATAGTGAGTCAGCAGTTAATTTCCACCACATTCAATCTTATTATCATTAAAGTTCACAGGCCAATAGTTCAACATCTTTTGTAGACTCATTTAGTCACATGACTTTGTGTGAAATTAAAAACCTTGCCAGTATTTTCCAAGTCAATGCCAGTTCAGTAGGAGGCTATTTCACACTGCTGATAAAAACAGATTTCAACCCTACCTGTTCAACCCTCTGTTCTTTCCTTCACAGATGCTGCCAGACCTGCTGAGCTTTTCCAGCATCTTTGTTTTTGTTCCTGATTTACAACATCTGCAGTTCTTTTGGTTTTCAACCCTACCTTATGTTTTAAATTTGTAGCATATACTGCCTTACAATAAATTGTTTGAGAATAAATTACATTACAATCAATTAAATATTAATATAAAAAGGTGCTAAGATTTGTCTGGCCATACTGTTTAACAAGCTAAAGACATTTCTATAAACATTTCAATAGACAGAAATGTTCCATTAACAGGTGACCATTATCACCAATACTGAACCATGCAGACCGTTAGATGAAATATTTTTGCAGTATGGAGGATGACTTTTCATATTTGCCTTAGTCAATGTGTGAACTTATGTTAAGCATTATACTGATTAAATGCAAAGTGGAGATCCTTTTATTCAACATGCCACAACACTCGTAATGTAGACCAAGAATCATCATAGTGCACATTACAAGATTAAGAATTGAGGGTCAAATCACAAGATCTAACCCACTGACAATTGAGCAACATATTATCAGTGATTCAAATTCTGTTACAACCTGGCAGATAGCATTCAAAAGTACACATGGTAACATTCCATTAGACATAATAGTGTTGCCCAATAAAAGGGGGTCAGTTAGCTCAGTTGGCTAGATGGCTAGTTTGCAATGCAGTATAACACCAAAAGCATAGGTTTAATTCCAGCATCAGCATGAAGAACTCTCCTCTTAATCTCTCCCCTCACCCAAAAATATGGTGCCCCTCAGGTTAAATCACCTCTCTCTCTATAATGAGAGAGCAGTCCTATGGTCCATTAGGTAAGAAAATGTTTTGCACTCAATACAGATCAGATATTCCACATGGGTCTGTGTACTTACAGAGTAAGTGCCCAGAGTCAACAGATTTCATGGGATCCTATGGTAATTCCACACTCCACCACCCTGAGTGAGGACATTCTATCAAATATGGAAGGATAACTGCAATAGATATTGGTACATATGGAAATCTATAATTTTGTGAGTACTCCAATATGTCCCTCTTCTTCTGAAGCAGCTGAGATAACTTAATTAAAACCAAAATTCAGAGGTCAATACTGTGGCACTGTGATTCTTATGAGGGTTTTAGTCAAGTACTCTTACATTCCAAAGCAAATGAAAATCTGTGTTGTACTGTGGCATCTTTTACTGAATAGTGCTGAGCAAAACTTGGGCCTTTTATGAATTTTCTGCACTATTAATGTTTTAGTCTCAAACATCAAACAAAAATACTCAAAAATATTGTGCAGAAGTAAATTAACAAAAATCTCATAGATTCTTGCATCAAAGCAATTTTGTAATGAAGAGATTTGTACTTGCTGCATGAATAATTTGCAAGTTTATCCAACATCTTAAACTTGAGAAGGATAATTTAGCTTTACCTGAATAATTTCAGAGTTAAATTTTGATTCCAGATGTGCAGCCCTTTCTGCCTCAATGTTTTCTTCTAATGTCTTCACTCTTTGCTGCGATACCTTAAAAACCAAGCAACTATCATATTTACTAATTCAATAGTTTGCAGGCAATTAGTATACTTAAATAAGTTATTTTCCTTTGTTCCCAGTGTTATAAAACCCCTGGGAGACCAAAAACCAAAAGTAACTAGATTTATTGAACAATCCCCAAATTTAAAAAAATATAGAATTCCACTTTTTGTAACTGTTATTTTATTACCAATCAATATAGCAAGATGTACTGCTCTACAAGGTAGTAATAAATGTTTCCACATAATTGGTTGTTAGTTCTAATGCACAAAAAACGCTTGAAAGCAGATTACCTTTCCAAAGCTTTAGCACAAAAGAATTGCACAGAATAAACTATCTACTATTAGATGTGCTATCACAGTCTACCACTTCCTGTAAATCTGGCAAATTTTAAAGATTTAATGTCACTATTCCAAAAGGTTTTTTTAAAAGCATATAAACTGAAGAGGCTAGAAATACTCAGCAAGCCAGGGAGCAACTGTCAAGAGAAACTTATTGAATACTTCAGATTGATGACTTTTCAGCAGAATTGGGGTTAGTGATGCTACAGGTTTTAAGTAAAGAAGGTGGTAAACAGGGTGAGGAGGGGGGGTGGGGAAGGGCGAGAAGAAAAACCAACAAGTCTTCAATAGGCTACAGATACGAAATGAAAATGTGAGAATAGAAACAGAAAGTAATGAGGGTGAATAAAGTAAAAGAAGACAAATGGAAATCCCATCAGAAAGAAAGACTGAATTTCCTCCAGGAATGACCACCTTGTGGGTTTCCCACTCTCCCCTCAAATAGGATTCTGTTTGGTTTCTTTTACCTTGCCCAATTGCAATGCTTTCCATTTCTCCTCTCATATTTAATCACTCTTACCTCCTGCCTATCACCAGCCATTTGTTGGTCCATAATTTTTAAAATCAACCTATTCAGACATGTTGTGAAACACATCTGGAACAGGGGTTCTTGGGACTGGGCCTCCTGGCTCAAAGGTAGGGGCACATAGTATTGTGCCACAAGAACCCTTTCCAGTGTGTTCATGCCTGCTCTGCAGATTCTGGGCACTTGTGCTTTATTAAAACTGGTCATAATGTTTTTCTATGCTGGGGGATCACAGGCCTGAAACACTGACTGCTTCACTTTCTGTAGATGCAGCCTGACTTGCTGAGCATTTCCAACATTTTGTTTACATTTGTTGTTGCCAGGAACTGGAGTATTTTGTTTGGAGGGGTTTTTTTGGCATCGTGGTTAAATATGCTCTTTCAGACTCAGCATCAAAACAAATTGAGATAACAAGGTGTAGAGGTGGATGAACACAGCAGGCCAAGCAGCATCAGAGG